TCCAGCTGTATTCATATGGGTATGCTTGTGCTTTAGTTTGTTTTGAAGTGTTTTAAAGAAGGAAAAACTACAACAAAAAAACCAAAGTTGATATAACTTCCACACGCAAAACCAGGCACTATTGGTGAATATATAAAACCTTCCCATGGCTTATTCTTCTTCCTACAAAGAAAATGTAGTGCCTCCATGTCCTTTTTTACTAATATTTTTTGACAAAACTATCACCCTTATATGAAAAATTTATTAGAGAAAATATTAAAGAAGGCTTAGGGTCTGCACCTTGTTCTAAACAATCAATCACAATATCTCATGTAGGAAAGACAGCAAAATATTCTCATTGACAGATGCCTGACAATAAATAAATAAATAAATAAATAAGCAGCACTTTCCCCAGTTGAGTGCATTGCCTCCGTAATAATTCACTGAACTTCAAGACTGTGTCCCTGCCAGAACAAGCCCCAAGTCTATCAGAATTGATAAAAATACTCATATATTTATGACAATTTCATTCACATCCAATAACAAAGAAAAGTTTTCAGTTGCATTTTTCTCATACTGGTGGCAGCTCAATAACTCTGCATAGCAGTTTTCAACAAGAAGTATCCCAAAGTACATTCACAGGGTGTGCAGGGGATTCACATGCCCATCACTATTAAGTAGCTGTCATTATGGTGGAATGTGATAGTCACTAGGCATGAAGTACTAGGAATTTTTAAAGCTGGAGAAACATACTATGCATTTCTAGGAGGGGAAATTTAATCAAAGGGTGATCTCTGGACTTTCCCTCTGTTCCTGTTTGCCATATTTACCCATAGTGAACACAGACACAGCAGCCTTTTGGAAATGTTTTCCTGGTTCCTGCAGTGTCTGAGTCTCAAGAACGCTTATCAGGAGCTGTGCACTTATCAGGAGCTGTGCAGCTGATGCAGATCACTTCCAGTCACAGAGCTCTACGCAAGCTTCAAATCTCTTTCCTTATTACGCTGACGGCAGTGACTTTTCTCTGACCAATACCTATCAAAGCACCTGGATCTCTACGTCCACTTCTTAGTTCTGTTTATCCCCCTGCGCACAGGCCATCAGACAAGGAGAGATGCCACTAGGCTGGGGTTCAGCTGGCCATTTTTACGGTTATCTTGACAGCTGCCTGGAAACCAACTGACTTTCCACAGTCTCTCTGATGCAAGGCTACAGCAAGGGCAGCTGCTGTGCGTATGCTGGCAACTGATCCACACACAGGCTGCAGTGCTGATGTGTTCTGGACATGTTCTCCGTGCACAAAGGCCAATTTTCACCTCTGCAATAGCTGTGACTCAACCTAGCTTTCTCAGAGCTATTTCTCCAGTGCAATGAATGTTTTCACGCACGGCAATCATTTCCTGATGTGCCAGGCTCTTTCAATCAGATAAGCAGCAATCAAATACAAAGGCACCAAAGATGATAATTTAAAGGAAATTTGTGCCTCGCTACCTCTGGCCACTAAATGCCTACAAAACTTTAGATGATCTGGCCCAAGCTTCTTTGCAGCCTCTCTCTGCGCAGTTCCTGGTGGGGCTGTTCCTCTACCAGAGATTTCTTTAGCTGTAATCATCCCTGGACTGAGCCTCACTTAAAAAATGGTTCCACAGAGAAGATGGGGGAAGGCATGTGTCATGGTAAATACTGTCTGTGGTATTTCACTGGGCTTTGCCGTAAGGGCTGGAGACAGAGAAGAAATTTAGCAAGATAATCACAGTTAACACTTTGTCTTCAAGAGATCATTACAGCTTTAGAGACATTTAGCATCTCAGAGACATCTGCTAAACTGAAAATGGGTAACAACACTAGAATCAAGCATTTCTCAATAGCAGGGGTGAACTTAAAGTGCAATCATTATGCTAGTCTGTTCCAGGCTGTACAACTTTATTTTTAATTATTATTTGCCTTCAAAAGAGCACTTTGAAGTGTTGCTGAGATAAAAGCCCTGATGCAATAGGCAAGGGACAAATTCACAGTGAAAGGCTATTCCTGCTTAGTAATAGATTTCAAAGCTGTTAAGTACATTTTGTGGAAGTGCCTCTATTTCATGTCAAATATGATGACCTATCCTTCTGTACGCTTATATTTTTATTCTGTCAGTGTATGTTCCCATCTACTCATAGAACTGGGTGGAAAAATGTGGGTCATTATAAGGCAAGAATCAAACTGTGAATGTGATTCTCTCCTACTTGTCAAATACTTTGGCACGTCAAAAATTCATAAACCTCTTTCTCTCCTCTTTTCTCATCCCCACAAGCAACAAATAATGTAGCTTTTATATTGAACTAGAGTGTTGTACTTCTATATTTTATGTTAGTGTATTTACTAAACTGACAGCTGTGGCACCCCTTGAAATAAGTTTATAGTCATCTGCTTACTTTGAAGGTATTCTAGAAGACTTCCATATCTCATCAGCTCGGTAATAATATAAACTGGGTCCTCCAAAGTACAGACAGCATAAAGCTGTATAAGCTTTGGATGTCTCAAGTTCTTCATTATTTGTGCTTCCCTCAGAAAGTCCTTTGGATCCATTGAACCTGAAACAACAGCATATAACAAAACATAAGCTGAGGTTATTAAAGGCCTTCCTACCAGCCTGGCAGTCTTAAGGGAATAACTGAGATTGTTTTCAGTCTTTCAAAGTACATTAGCATCTCAAATCTTCACAGTTCCCACAGAAAACAGATAGTGCAGCTGAAATAAACAGTTAATGAGTGAAACATGCCAGTTGCACAGGGACAGAGAACATATGTGTTCCAGCCACCAGAAATACACAGGCTAAAATTAACCTCCCCCAGGCCTCCCCCAGGCAGAAAAAAGCGAGGCTAGAATGTTAACTGACATCATTTCAGCAAACAATTATGTTACAACTGGTTAACGAAATGGCCAGAAACTGAGGTAAGAGTGCCTAGGTAATGAACATAAAATTTCTGACAGAAAAATAGTGCTGCAATAAGAATTTGTTGCACTATTTTTTCTGCTTCAGCAATCAAAGCCTGAAAGCCCTGAAATCACTTTAGCATATAAGGAGCGGATGTGTGCATTTTATATACATAAATACAAATAACTGCTTGTAATGTTCACATAACATACAAATATACGTATACAAATATTCTCATAGTGATCTGGAACAACCTTATCAGAAATACCAAAGTATGCACAGATGTAACGGTAATTTTACACTCTTTTAAATTCAGAAGTATCTTAACAGCTAATGATCCCAACTTTTTAAGTGTTACGTAAGGTCATAATATCTCCAGTTCTCTTCATATACACAGTGAGTCAATGCATAAACTATGTCAAAGAAACAATACAGAAATGGCACAGGGCACTACAGTCAGTGGCAAATTTAGGATTACAGCTCATATGTCCTGAATAGGGGACCGACTAGAAAAAAAACATGCACAAATAAGGAAGAAAAGCTTGCTCTATGGATGATCCAGTAGTGATCAGATATTCTCAGATGTTTGACAGAGATGGTAAATAACATCTACTTCACAATACTTGTACAAACAAATGTGAAATTATTCAACTACTCAAATATTTCCTTCCTCCCAAATCAAAACAGTTTCATTAAGAAAAGATTACGGTGAAGGTTTGGGGGGAAAAAAAAAAAAATCTACCCAAGTCTAGTCTGCTCTATGCCATGTTTAAAACCAGACTCTTCTTAGTGTAAGTGGACTGAGTCATTTGAGAAACCAAGGCTGCAAGAGTAAGAGTCTTTATTTTATGTTTCTTAATATTAGGTAACCAACAAGGTTCAAAACTTTGGCTTTGTTCCAAACATGTTTAAATGAAGTGAAATGCTGGGAGGATGCTAAATGGATCAGCAATAAAACTCCACTAGAAAATCTGTTCTACAGAACAAACTGGCAAATCAGCCCAGGCCACCTTCACCCAACAGCTGCCTTGAATGCTGCCTCCTGAAAAGTCCTCCAACCTATTTCCCAAAACACAGCAATGATATACTTCAGTGCAAGAGGAATGACTCAGAAATGCTTCTGACATAGACTTTATGAAAAAACAGCCACTTGACATTGCAACCTGTGAGAACAACCATTATTGCAAGGACAGGTTCTCCTCTCCCCAGCAACCTCTTACTTTCCTTGGCAATCCCACAAGGTCCAATCTGACAATATTTTATAGGATGCCATTAGAAGCAATGGTGAAAGGCAATGGATTTCCATGCCATCAATAAATGGATAGCAGCCAATAATACATCTGCTCAACAGGTACAGGCTATACCCATTTCCTTTTGTCACTGTCAGAGGAAAGTGGGAGCCTGCATGAAAAGTAAATGACTCATACTTGGTCTGGAAAAAGCAGAGATTATGACAGTCAGGTGGAAAAAACCAAACGTCTGTAATGCTAATGCTGTGTCCTTTTCCTGTTTAGAGCAGCACAACATTTACAGCTTTATTTGAACATTCCACCAATCCTAGATTTAAAAAAAAAAAAAAGCCCAGAGTTATCTTTAAAGGGTTTGGACTCATTATGATACTGATTTAATATTGTGGTCCATTTGCTTACTCTTTTCAAGATGTATGCATTTGTCATGGAAATCATCCTGAAGTCCACAGAGAAGCTGCATGGTGTGAGATATTCTGCCTCCAAAGGAAAATGCATAAACATGACTAGTGATTTAACATCAGTGCCAAAATTTGACATGTTGATCCTAAAAAGGATAAAGTGTTTGCTAACTTGGAGTCTACCAAATCACCTGCCCTCTATGGATCATTATACAGGATTTCTTCACACCATAGAAAATGACAGTCTGATTTGTTCCCATCATCAAAGTTTGCCTACAAGGAATCTCTCAGTTTAATCATGCTATAAACTTCCAACAAACAGAAACCAAGCAACATGTTTTTCACATATGACAACTTCCAATAAATTGATCAGCAGCGAAGTATTCTATCAGCTGAATAGCAGCAAATCCTTCTTTACACTGTAAAAGTAATTAATAATAATAACTGTAACAAACCAGTGACAAAGATCAATAGGTATTTTCTGCATATTTTAAAGAGCATATGTAACCTTCAGTTTGACTTAGTTTATATCTTTAAATAGCATAAGTAGCAGACAGTGATCAAAACCCCCCAGAGCCTTGTAGCTTTTATACTGTAGTTAATAAGTGGATTGGATGCTAACTCAAAAAATTAAGAAGTGTCTTTATGTTTTGTCTAAGATTAGGTTTTAGCAACTAGATAAGCAAAGTAAAATCTGCCTCTAAAAACAAGCAAACATGCTTGTTACAAGTTAGTTAGATAAAGCCTGTCACAATAGTGGCAAAGAAGTTACAATACATTTCTTTGAGGAAGTTTATATAAATGAAATATATAAAATGTATGCCACATGGAGTTTCAAATAACTGGGGATTTTTAGTTTGTAGTTGAATTATTTGTATTTTTAATGAAGTATACGTTTTCAGCTGTAAGTGGTAAACACGGTATAAGAAGCAGTTTACTCTAAGTAGAAACCACTTGATCAAAAAACAACTAGTTAACAGAAGCCTTTACTGAAATGACAGGCACCCCTTGTGTAAGACACCAGTTTGGGACTAGATTGATCAGTACCTGAAGAAAATATGGTTTGGATAACTTTTTTTTAATGAAAACTATTTCTGTAAACGTCAAAGTCCTTCTTAAAAACAAATTGTTCTAATATGTTTCTTTGATGTGTTTTATGATGCGCTGCTTTGCCAGAAATCACCTCTAATTTAAGCGTACTTAAAGCGGGTATATCAGTTCTGACTACTTTCTTTCTGCAAATATTTTGTTCTAGAACCGAGGAAGCTTCACATTGTAAGATAAACACCGATAATTTGGAAATGAGTTAAAGAGAAAGGTCAGTCATTTTTATGTAGTTTCCACTAGCCTAAATGTAAGTGTCCCTTAAATATTTGATAAGCCACTCCAGAGACCCTTTGCAATTTTCAATAAACCTTCCCAAATGACTTCAAAGTAACCTTGTACTTCAGAGCAACAACATCTTCTGAATAAGTTTATACAAAATGAACTTATGTACAGAGTACATTGGGCATATACTGTGATCTTCTGAAAAAGTTTATGCGTAATAAAGAGATAACATTAAAAAGTACAAGTTCTTGGTAATATGAAAGACTGAGTGTAAACTATTCACGTTAACAGGAGAATGAGATAGGTATCTGATAATCCTCAAGCAGCTTTCTCACCATACAGAAGTGACCTTACAAGTTAGTGTAAGGTTATGTACTGAACTAAATGGAATAAAATAATGTATTTGTTCAGGGAAATTGGGAGACTTTCCTGAGTGCAAAGCTTTTTACACTGCATATGCACTAAAGAGATGACATATTGAAGAACTGAAAATGTTATTAACTTCTCCGCTGACAGTACCAACCCAGAGACTATTTTGAGAAAACCTCCTAAAAAAAATCATGCTTGGGCAGCTTCCATGCAAAGAGAGAAGCTTGGGAGATGCTTTACAATATGATAATGACAAATGCATCTGTCAAGTTGAACAGGCATAAGGAACTTTCTCAGACACGATTAATTGGTGATGATAGATCTCTGCTTTGCGTGCTGACAGTTGGAGAAGCAAGCTAGCCCAGACAATAAGTTCTAGAGAATCCATCACTCTCAGCATAGGACAAAGTGCAAATCCCTGCTGCAATGATTTCCACTTAAACAGAAAAAACAATGCCTCGGTGAGGAAATAAAAACAGAAATGTGAAATTGCATGTTCAGGGTCCTACAGCAAGACAGTGCTGTGCAGAGCCAAGAACAGAAATGGCAATTGCTGGCTTCTAGAACATTTTCTTATCTGCTGATCCCTACACCTCTTTGATGACTGTGGGTCAACAATTCAAAAGTCAGAGATGTTCCTTAAGGCAAAGATGTTCTTGTGTTTTGTTTTCTTCATTCACACACCCATTATTATGTTTTTGGGTGGTAAAAATGTCACAGATGTCTCCAAAGCAGAGTCAAATAAGCGCACAAATAAGAGAATTATGTGAATGAAGGCATCACATTACTACTGCTTTTTGTTTATAGTCACAGTGATCAACAGATTGTTTCAATAAGATCTATAGTTCTGTGCCTTCTAGCCTAGAAGCCATACATTTTAATCACTGTGGCCTAGAAATACTAATATGCGTGCAGCTTTTAAACCCAGCTGGGGTGTCTTCAATGCACTACTGAAACATTTAAGCAACTCACTGCCAGAAGCTTGAAGAAGCCTGACATTGGTTCATGCAATGCAGTCCTTCAACATAGGATGGATGGTTCATGTTTATGCACCTGTATATTCCCTGTGGAAAATTTTGTCTTCATAGTGCAGTGGACGCAGTAACACACCCACACCGCTCAATTTTTTCACCTGATGCCTAAAGTAATTGAGTACTCAGTCATGCCCCTATAAAGTTAGGAACTTACATTTCCTTTGATATTAGGGTTACTGCATAAGATAAGGGGTTTTATAGACATCTGAAAATGCATTCATGGGAGTCTCCTCTGAAGGAGTACTATTTTTAATGTAAACACTAATTTGGGACAGC